CAGGAGCCCGGGCAGGGGACAGGCTCAGTATGGGCAAGGGCCCTCCAGCTTTTACGTGGCCCTTCCCCATAGCATCCCTGTTCTAGACCCCTTGCAGCAACACTTCAGCTTGCTCCTGTTGAGTGGGTTCATGAGCTTTTACAGTGTTAGAGATTTATTTTTTTCAGCCTATGTGAGGCAGCATTGCAGCAAAGGCAGTTGCGAATAGGTGTTACAGCCAGAGGGAGGCTTTTTTTAAATCTACTTGTTTTCATGTTTCTCTTTTTCAAGAAAAATTATGGTGGCATCCAGCACAGGACCTGCTGGCTGGCTGGCTCAGGGAGAGGCCACCTTTGGTTGCGGACCTTCAGTACGAGGACCTTCCCGCTCAGAGAGGGGCTAACCAAAAGCTGCCCTGCCCTTCTTGTTTCAGCTGGGGAATCGGAGAAATGCAATGCTCCGGTGGGTCCCAACCACCCAGAAACCTGTGGTTAGGGATCGCCATCAGGCTCCGCATCGGAGCCATCTGTTGCATGCACAGCAGCAAAGCAAGCATTTCATTTTTTTTTCCTTTTTCCCCAGCATGGTAGGACATGAATCAAAGCAAAGGCAGGCAAGAAAATCTGGAGCCAAGGAAAACTGGGAGGCGCTGAGTTACCAAAAGTGCTTTGGATAGGTCAATGCTACTCAAGTGTCAAGAGAAGGGAACACACATGCATATGTAGGTGTTTGTTTGGCAATGGGCTCCATCCCATCTTGGGATAGTCTAGGCGGGAGAACGGTAAATCCCCAAAATATATATTTTCTGGCTTAAATGAGAGTGAGGTTGTGTGTGTGGTAAAGGGGAGTGAAAATCAAACCTGTTTTTCCTTGGCTTCAAAAGTTTGGACTGCAAAGGAGCTCTATTCAGGCAGCACGTAAGGGCAGGGCTTTCCTTCTTCAACCAAATTGTGAGGCAGGGTAACACAGTTATGGCCAAACTAAATCGACGGCAACTCTTTTCCAGCCACACCCCTGTTTATTTCTGACCTCTTACGCTCCTACGACTCCAGCGGTTCGCATTGTGCTGGGTGGCATCTTGCCTTAATTTTTCAGAAAAGATTTAAGGTTAATGGCTGATGCCCAGAGCACTTTGTTCTTCAAAATGTCTGTCCATCCTCCCATCTTTCTGTGTGTGAATTTCCTCCACTTGCTCAAAGGTTCCTCCTGTAGGAAAGACTCACCAGCTTGTGCTGCAGCTGCTGAACAACCCCAGCACCCAAAAAATGAGGCAGTGCCAGGTGGGGTACGGCAGAGCCGAAACACCTCCAGTTCCCAGCCAGGGAAATGGAAAGGTTAAAGAGCAACACGCTGAGCAGCCCTCCGGTTTGGTTAAAACCTCTGGAGCAGGTTTTTTTTCCCTATCCTACAGAGCCAAAAGTGGTTTTGGGAAACGAAAATCACATGAAGCCACCACGTGGTCTGGTGGTGGGGACACATTTGCCACCCAAGGGGTCTCACTCCCCTGGACAGTGCCACCCAGCTGCCTCCAAGGTCTCAGTGCAGTCGCTGCTGCTGGGCAGCATGTGAAATTGCCATAGGGGTAGGGGACAGTATGGCCAATGCAGCTCTCCTCACCCCTGGGGATGGGACTTACCATGAGGAGAGCCCAGGGCTTGGAGCCACCTTCTGTCCCCAGCTGTAGGTGCAAGGAATGGGGCAGGCGGGGGCAAACTCCAGGTCAGCCCCTGCTGCTCCCAGCCCCGCACAGGTCCCACAGCTGAAGGGGATGCCACCAAGCCACCCTGCATGGGAACAGACCAAAGCCTTATCCTGCAATGTAAATTTGGGAGCTGTGTGAGAGCAAGGGTACAGCCACATACCTCAGAGAGCTGCTGTGCACAGCATCCCCCTCCTGGGGGGGGGGGGGACGGGCAGGCAAAAACAGAGGTCCAAACCTATTGCGTTGGAAGCTGCTCTCAAATTGTGGCTGTCTAAGGGCAAACAAGGAATTACCGCCAGGGCGGAGGGGAGAAAGCGGCTGGGTCCCATGGGATGGCTCTGCCCGCAGCAGGCAGGGCAGCCCGGCACCTGCCTCCCGTCCCCCCAGGGAGGGTCACCCTCCAGAGGGGACCCCATGCAGAGCTGGGAAGAGGTGGCATGAGGTGCTGGTCTCGTCTGCCATGGAGAGGCAGCGATGGCAGAACGACCCTGCCGAGGTCATGGTGGAGCTGGTTTTTTGAGGTGTAAGAGCTGGCCTCCACTTTGGGCAAGGACTGCTCTAGGAAAAAAAAAAGGTGCTCTGCTCTCCTCCCCACAGCTGCGCTTGGGCTGGGGGGCTGCAGCAGGCCCTTGCAGTGAGGATAAAGCAGAAATGTCCACGCAGGGCCCTGTATCACGCCGTGGTGGGGGGGCCCGGCCCCCCGCATGCTCCCTCCGCTGCTGCCGGTGCACACAGCATCCCTCTCGGGCATCTCCTCTGCGGTGCTGCCTGGGCAGGCTGGCCCCCCTCTATTCCTTCGGCCACCCAAACCCTGTTTCACACCTCACATCGTCGTTGCCATTGCTGGCGCATGAGATCAAACCCGTGGCATTTTGCTAAAATCCATAGGAAATCATTCCACCGCCTTTCCTTATGTTTAGCTTAGCAGGCTTTCAGTAGATTCATTCCCTTCTCTTTTTTTTTTTTTTTTTTTTAAATAAAAACAAGCAGCGTGCTAAGAACTGGAAACCCGCTGGGATGTTTTCAGCCTTGGCCGGAGCTGCCTGAGCCCCCCCCGGGGCCGGGAGGCTGCCTCTGGCGGGGGCTCAGCGGGCGGCTTTTTGGGACAGCCATTTCTGATTCAAGCCGGTGTTAAGCCGGCTGTCTGAGGGCAGAGCGGAGCCATTCCACCTCCGCTCGGCACCGGACGGCAGCGGCATGGTGCTCCGGGGAGCCTGCCTGCTCTTCTGCCTCTTCTCCCTCACCCAGGTCTCCAGCCAGCAAAATGGCAAAGTCCGGCAAAAGCCGGTGGCTTCCAAGAAAGGTAAGGAGCGGTGGCAGCTTCCCGGCAAGGAATCCTGGTGGGGCTTGGGAGGGGGATGCAACCACCCCGGGCATTTAACAGTGCTTTAATGGAACTTTTAAAAAAGCATCTAAAAACCTAATAGTCTATTTTTTTTTCCTCCCGGCGGGGAATGATCACATAGCCCTTCTGTAAAAGCGCGAGGGGACTGAAATGTTTTTGGCAGATTCCTACCTTGAATAGGTTTGATGGGACAGCTTGGTCTGAACTTCAGAGGGCCACATATTTTCTGTGTTAATCTCTAAGGTTCGCCCCAACCTTTTCCTCTACTAAAATCTCGCTTTCTGTCACCCTTACCCTGCCCCGTTCGTTTTTCAGAAGCAAATAAGCAGCAGATGACAGGCTGCTGTTGTAGATTTGGAGACAAGCATAGGCAGATAATATATAATCCATTAAATATTGTCACGGATCTTCATTTTAAAACACTTGCCCCGAGTGTATATCAAGCCATACAGGAGCTCCAACTACACAGGCTTGCCAGAGGGCAATGCACACAAAATGATGCCTAAGTTTTCTTTTCCTCAGTGGGTTTTCTTTTTCCTTTTCTTCTCTTTTTTTTTTTTTTGCTACTGTCCCATCCTTTCTCCCCCTGATTCGGGCACGTTAGTTACAGGAGCAGGCAGGTAGGGAAGCGGCTGGCGTCGCAGCCCAGCCTGACGTGTCCGACTGCCATCCCGTGGGCTGGGACCGCTTCTGGCAGGCACTTGGCTGCTTGGAACCAAGTGGGGAGCGAGGAAGAAGCATCCCAGGAATTTGCTTGGCCTGGCTGCTCTCTACACTTGCCTGGTGGCTATTTTTGTCTGATCCCATCCTTGAGAAATTTTTCCTTTTTCTCCCATTAGATCTTTCTATGAAATTGCTGCATAGCTGCTTGTTCCATGTCTGTGGCTGTTTTCTGGAGCAAAAATACCTCCTTGGGCTGGTATGGGGTACATAGGGGCGTTGCACTTACTGGATGTACCAGGAGGGAGAAAGGAGTTTCTTAGAGAAATCTTTTCTCTCCATGTCACTGGACCTGCTGTTTGTAACCCATTGGTGACAAGCAGGTGAGAGAAAAATCAGGTGGTGGGAGAAAAAAAAAATCACCTTTTTGACGGGAAAACTGGGCTCTGATTTAAACACATTTTTCAGAGTGGAGGGGGCAACATTTTTTTCTGAAAGTCAAGCTGTCTGAAACCGTGGGTAGCAAATTTTCCTGTGAGCTTCAGGGTTTCTTTTCAAAGGAGAGGTCAAGTTTTCTTTGGGGAAAAGAAAAAAAAAACAAACCCAAATTTGGCATTTTTTGGCCGGATCACATCCAGCCCCACGGCGGGTCAGCTGCCCTGCCTTTACTGGAAACTTCCAGCATTTCTTGGTTTACTTTTTCTGATTTTTACCAACACCAGGGAGTGGGGAAAGAGGGAGGAAAGAACTAAAAATCTCCCACAAGGCTCCTCTTTGCCCTAGCCCCTCACCACATCCAAGCCTGCCTGCCTACCCACCGCAGGGGCCGGGGCTCAGGGCAAGGGCAGGATGGCCCCATCCCATCCCACCCCATTCCACCCCATCCCATCCCCATCCCAGGCCCCCAGCGCCCCGCTGTCCCAGCTCACCCCCTGCCCTTTGCCAGGGAAGGTCGGGCAGGGTGAAACCTTGAGTTGGGTTTTTTTTTCCCTCTTCTTTTTTGTAATTATTGCTTACATTTGGCTCTGTTTCAGGACAAAAATGGTGCTGTTTCAACATGAAAAAGCCAAACCCTAGCATTTAGAAAATGCTGAGGCAGCACATTCACTTTGCCTGCTCTTGGGTTTTTTTCCCCCTCACGTTGCTCCCCAGTGATTTTCCAAGTCACAGCGGTTCGGCAAACTCTCCACGAACCCCTTTATGGTTTGGGGGGCATGGGGGGGGTCTCACCCAGAAAGTTGCCCAGCAGAAGCAGGAGCAGCTGGCAGGCAATGGTACCCCCCTGCCCAGGGGACAATGGCACCCCCTGGCTGAGGGGTCCGGGCTGGAGACCTGCCAGCCTGGGGCGGGGGGTGCCCTTGGTCACAGCTGCGACGGGGTGCTGGGGCCACAGGAGGGAGCATCTTTGCATAGCTCTCGTGTATTTTTAAAGAAATTATAGCCGGCCGTGGGAGTCTGGATGCTTAAATCAGCAGGTAGGGGCTGATGTGGGCGCTGCTCCTGAGGCTGCCCAAAATTCCCATGCAATCTTGCTGTCTGGGTGCTCTTCCCAGAAAACAGCTGTGAACATTCGCACTGATATAAACCCAGTGCAGGTGCGTTTGTTCCCCTCCTGATCCAGGGACAGACCGCAGTATGGGACCCGACTTTTCCAGCTGGGATATTCAGGGAAATGCCTGGTGTCAGAAGAAATACCGATGGCCAGGGAGGTTTGATGACAGACATTGCGAACCAGAGCGATGCTCGCCCTTGCTGGGGGACAGAAACCTGTTTGAATAGGAACAAACCTGATGATCCCTGCCTGGGCAAAGCTAAGCAACCCAGATATAGATGCAAATTTCATATAGGGACAGTTAAATAATCAAAATTAAGTACAGAGGGGTTTGGTTGTTATTCAGCATGTAATTAGAACAAAAAAAAAATGGGCAAGAGCTCCCGTTTGCAGCATCAAATAATGCATTACTGGCCGGGCTTTCAAACCAGCAGACTATTGCGACCCACATCCTTCTCCAAGTCTCCTTTTCATCTCTGCCCGTGCTTAATCCCGCAGCTCATGGTCAGCTGCACAAGGACCTGCTCCAGCTCCCATGGGCAGCGTTGGAAGACCCCATGCTGACTTCAGCCACAGCAAACCCATGCTGTAATAGCCTTGATCATGGGCTTCAGGAGGTGAGCCCCGAGGAAATAACAGGGCAGAGATAAAAACCTTTGGCAACAGAATAGAAAAAAATCGATGTTTGTTGGCGTAGCTGTGGTACTTGCTTTGTAGACAAAGTGCAAATAAACCACTCCCAGTTCTCCCTGTGACATCCCAGTGAAGGCACACCTTGTGGGGCCCAGGGCTTGGAAACCAGGTGGTGAAAAGGGACAGGGTGCTTAGGTAGTTACCAAGGAGATGTGTCCATCTTGGGTGATGGGCAACCTCTAGATGAGAACCCACCGGCTGGAACGATGTAAGGAGCTGCCCCAGCGAGACTCCAGCATCCTGCCATGGCCCTGAGATGTTACTTAAACCTCAGGGACAATTGTTCTGCTGCAAGAGAGGCTTGCATGGAAAAAGGAAAAAAAAATAAAAGGCATTAATTAGCTGTTTCCCACAAAGTGTTTTCATCAAAGGCACCAAAATAATAACTAGTGCCTCAGTGTTAAGTGAACCCATTAAAGTTAATTGAGCAATGAATAAAGCAGCTTAATGCCCTCCTCCCGATGTGTCTACTTTTCATATTCATGGCACCGTGTAATCTTTGGGCTGGTGGTTTTGATCCTCATCCAAGCTTCCCTGCTCACCCGGCTTGGTGCCTCCACTCCCCATCTCCTTGACCCTCAAGGAAGCCCATCCTACCACGTTCGTGTGCAAATTGTCCCCTTTCCTTTCACCTCATGAGGACTAGCAGATGCTTATGCCAGGCAAGATAAAGCAATAGGAGCAGCAGAGGTAGTGTAATGAACACGAACACCTCAAAGTCCCATCTCCCACCACCTCCAAGGCACAACCGTCCTATTGCTCCTAGATGGGAGAAATCCAAGTACCAATTTAGAGTTTGTTAGAGTTGTTGCAGCGGCAACAGACCTAACAAGATGCAGGCTTTAATAGCAGGCTGCGACCAACTGCCCAGCCAAGGAAGCATCTTCTCATGGCAGAAGAGCGGCTCTGGCCAGTTTTTGGGTACCTGCACCAGGGACACTGAAGGCAGAGGCGGGGCAGAGGCAGCTGCGACAGCCAGAGGGATGGCGTTGTTGGTGGGCTGAGGGACAGGGTGGCTGATGGTGCAGGGGCAGATCTCACGGAGGGACTGCAGGCCTTCCACCCCTTTCCCGC